GTCCATTGGCCCTAAGTGTGCCGCAGGCGACCAGGGGGCTTGAACCCACAACCTCCTGAATGCCACTTGACTGCCTAACCAACTGAGCTAGGCCGCTGGATGCTGGAGGCTACTTCTTTTTTTCTTTTCTTTTTTTCTTTCTTTATTTATTAAAGCCCCAGGTTGTTGTAGAGGTGGGATAATAGACAGATGACAGTCACCCACAGTAATCAGCCACTCAGTTGAGGCTAGGTAGTTCTAATTGTTTATGTTTGGCCACTGTCCATAGATCTTCAGAATCTATGGTTAGGAATGTAATTGGCCTCTACAACACCCTGGACTTTACTATAAAAACAGAAAAATGAAAAAAAAAAGGAAGGAAGCATCCTTGCAAATGAAACGTCACCGGCTAGTGGCAACAACAGCCAGCAATTCCAGGCTTGCAGCTAAGCATGATTTGCAGTTATGAAGGGTAGTGGTTGGGTCCCTCGCCACTTGCATAATGTGATCCTGAGGCAAAAGTGCAAACCAGGTGCATAATGTGAATCTGGCGAACAGTGCAAACCAGGTTTACGCCAAGCATTTGCTTCCGGTTACACACAGAACATTTCACCACTTGTCGAGCAATTGAAGGCAGACACTGCAATGTTTATTGCAAAAATAATAATAACAACAATAAAGGGTAAGCATATTTTCCACCAGTGTGTTCGTAGCTTTCACACTACGCCTGGCCCCCAATGGGAGGGGGGTATATTTGGGACTCCATCACAGAGACTCCGAATCGTTTTCCCCCATTTCTGACCACAAGTCGGTCTCTCTCGCCGTATTAACATCTCAATTTGCAAGAGGACGAGGAATTTTTAGACTGAACACCCATAATCTTCAAGACCCATCCATATATTTTGGGGCAGTTGGAAAATGACAAGAGAATCCTACTCCTCTACGTCGGAGTGGTGAGGACGAGGAATTTTTAGACTGAACACCCAGAATCTTCATGACAAGGGTTTGGTAACCTGGATGAAGGAATTTTGGAGCAGTTGGAAAATGACAAGAGAATCCTACTCCTCTACGTCAGAGTGGTGAGGACGAGGAATTTTTAGACTGAACACCCAGAATCTTCAGGACAAGGGTTTGGTAACCTGGATGAAGGAATTTTGGGGCAATTGGAAAATGAAAAGAGAATCCTACTCCTTTACGTTGGAGTGGTGGGAAACAGGTTCTAGAATATTCTTTAACCTATTGTCTGTTTTTTCTAGAATCCTGGTTACTTACTGCAACCGTTAGGAACATAATTTAAGCAGGCAAATGGAGTACGCCGAAATGCGAATGCCCTGTCATCCAGTTTCAAACCTCGTTTGGAGTAAAAAAATGACTAAGTTAATGTCTGAATGGGATGATATCCAGAAACACAAGTCGAAAATCTGGTCGACGCATATAAATGTCAAAGGGATTGTAGTGTATGATAGGATGACGAAAAAGTCATTTCAGAAACTTCTTCCTCGTCGCTCTACCATATCCATGCGGGAATTAACCCACCCCTTTAACCTTGATGCCCCCAAAGCGAAAGACCACAATCGCCTGCTGATATTGCCTGTTTCTTCCCTGGGGTTTGAGAACCAGGTATGTCCCTCATTGTCCGGATGCATTAAACGGTAGGGGTCAATCAAATCCAAAGAGCTCGTTAAATTAGTTAGTGTCAGTTTGTCATTTGGGCAATTTGACACTTGGGAGCAATGGGTGATATCCAGGGAGGTATTCCAGTCGCCAGTAATAATCAGTTTATCTCCTTGGGGAATAACAAATAGAAGATCCTCAAGGAAGATACGACGAAAACGGGGGTCGGTTGGGGCGTAGACCGTTGCTATAATCCAATACTGATCCCGAATTAGTAGCTTAATCCAAACCCACCGTCCCCATAAATCGGAGTAATAATCAATGATATCATCGTTCAGATTGCGGTGGATAAGAATTCCGACTTCGCCTCTGGTTCCTTGAGATGGGGACCAAATTTGCGGTCCGTTCCACCAATTACCTAGATTATTCAACTTTGACTCACCTAGCTTCGTTTCTTGAAGACAAACTATCTGAATTTCGTTAGAATGAATCCAGGATTTAAGACGTTCTTTCTTTAATGTACCTGGAGAATCCCCCAATCCCCTAATGTTCCACTTAGTTAATTTAAGTTTACTCACTGGCATGTTGTTGGCATCAGACCCCTAAGTTGTGGGATCCGAGGTTGGGATGCTTCGATTTATTCCGTTGACCAGGCTATCACAAGAGTGGAGTGAAAGAACCGAGAGTTGATCTTCTTATTGATCGGAAGTCGACCTTCGAGTTCCAATAGGCACTCGACCAATCTAAGAGGTGGAATGCGGATCCTACTCAGTTCCTACCTTCTTTTCTTTGCGGACTAGTCAATGGGAAGAAGGTGAAGGCCTTCCTATTTTAGCCGTTCTAGTTGTCCCTTTGCAAATAGGACATCCATCAGTGGAACAAAGAACTTGATTTGTTTGCATTGACAAACATGGTTGTCAGCGATGATTCGAACCATTAGAATATCGCGAATCATACGGAAGGGGAACATGTCTTGGATTGAGGCGCAGGTCAGGTTTACCATAGCGGTTGGCATAGGGGAATTAGGAGCGGGCAGATTTACCATAGCTGGATGGTTGTCAGGGCCCAAAAAGGTGATGGCCCAAAAAACATTTCTTACCGCCACGCAGAAAAAATGGCAAAATCCTCGATTCGATATCTTGAAGTTGGCCTTTGACCAACGAAACTGGGTATCTGTGTCTTGAGGTCTTGGTGCCTGGAGTACCTGTTACGGTACAATTGTTGTCGGAGACTTGAGATGATGTGGCCGATGTTTTTTTCCTGGAGATTGCCGCCTTCTGAAGTAGCACTCGCTTCCCTATCCAATCGCCTTTGTTTTCCAGTGGAGTTACCGCGAATGCGAGAAGAGGTTGGTTCATCTCCCAGATGAAGTGATCTGGCCGCTACTGGTCTTGGTGGAGTCGTGGCGCCGACAGCCGGAACTCCTCCAACCGGTCTTGAAGTAGACAGGTCAGTGGTTGTTCCTGTAGCTTCGGTTACTATGACCCATGGTACCGGCTCCATATAGGTGGAATAAGAACCACCTATGATCGAATGACCTTGAAGATAAGGAGTGAAAGCAGAGGGATGTGGATTCCCTGGAGGCATGCAGTACGGGAAGCCTTGCGAGAAGCCTTGGAGGTTCCAGGGCATAGTCGCAGACACGTTCCAAGCTTGGGCGCCTTGAGATGATCCCGGGCGGAAACCGTAGCTAGGCATTGCAACCAGACCTGGAGAGAAGGTTGTGTTGTTCCGCATCACAGCATCAGCTAAGTTTGGATTGTGGGCCAAAGTGGGTACCATCCCTTCCATGCTTGTTGATTGTAGGGCTAGGCCTTGAGGGCCTAGCGTTCCATGATAGTCTCGAGAGCCTTGAGGATGCCGACCTGCGGGCTGTTGCTGGTTAGGTGTCTGAGGTCGAGATTGAACTCTAGCTTGTGTCGGTTGGTTGTATCCGCCTTGTCTGTTATTCCTCTGACATTCCCCTTCCGTGTGAAAAAGGCTCTGCAGCGACGACAGTGTGGCGTCGTGGACGAAGCTAATTTAACTTCAAGCGAGTCTCCCTCTGATGTATCAATCCAAATTTTGTCCTTCATATTGGCTCGAGCCACCAGGTCAATATCAAATTTGATGTTAACCAGCAATCCTGCTCCGAAGGATGAGAGCGAATTACAGGTCCGATGGCCTGTTTGACTTGTACCTTGAGGTAGAGAAAGGCGTCCACGGGTACTTGCATAGCGATAACCCAAAACTTCTCTTCATCTTCTAGTTGTCGTTGTTGGCGAAGTTGTGCCTTGGTGAGCCATGGCTTGAAATCGAAGATGTAGCTGTTTGTGCCTATTGTGAGCTCATCGGAGCCTTTCGCCAAAAACCATCTTGCAATCTCAAGCGATTTTGCAACGTATGAGATGACGTTGGGAGACTCCACTTTCACTCTCCCTCTACTGAATGTTTGTGAATTGAAATCGCCGTCTGACGTCTTCTTATCTTCGTAGGCACGTACAATGTCTTCCTTCTTGCCAAAAATCTCGCGCCTGCCCGGAAGATAAAAGTAACCATATGTTCCTTTAACCAAGCAATTTTTGTTTGGTCAAGGGAAAAGTTTACCTTGAATCTCACCTCCCTACCGTCTACTGACATCACGCCCGGATCAATGTCTGTTGGCATGATCCCCTCTAGGTACCAAGCTTTCATCAGTTCTCTTAGCCTCCCATTGTCTTCCTCTGTCCCCTCCGGGACCTGAGGGGGGGATCTTGCCTTTGACTCTACTACTTCTTCCATGGCAACCGGGGCGTAGTAATGTGGATCCCGAGCCGGGATGTTAGGGAGACAAATTGAAAGCCTCCATAGCCTCCGTAGTAATGTGGATCCCGAGGCTAAGAGTCAATTTCAAGTAGGGTCTACCTCTACGTCAGAACACTTTCATGAAAGAAAACTGATACTTAGACAACAGTAAAGAGGTCCTTCCGGGTGCTTGATCGGGCAACCTCCATAGCCGTAGTAGCTATGACCTACCACAATGGAGAGGTGACGGCGCACCGAAGTTGCTGAGGGCATATCGCGGCGGTATGTCCTGCGGCCAAGCACTCTACCGATCCCGGTCGCGGAAATGCTTGGTCCGTTCCGGTTGGACCAAAGAGGTCATATCGCCCCAGGTTTTCTTACCGGGTAGTCCTTTTTTTAATCTTTATTTTTTGAATTTTTGTTATTATTATTTTTTAGTGGATCGGGATGGTTATTGGCTCTTCTTCTGGTTTCCTCTTCTCTTTTTTTGTGGTGGTCTTCTGTCGGCTTCGGTACCAGGCAGGCAAGGTGGGTTGGCGAGCTGCGCCTCATTTCACTCTATACCGGTAGGTACCGAAAAGCAGCTCGACCCCCTATACTGGTAGGGCGGCAGCGGGGTAGGCGTGTTCCTTCAACGGCGAAGGGCAGAGGGCAGCTGAGCGGGTGACGATCGGGAAGGTAGGAGAGGACAAGAAGCGGGAGGGGGAGAGGAGGGAGAGGACAAGAAGCGGGAGGGGGAGAGGAGGGAGAGGACAATAAGCGGGAGGGGGAGAGGAGGGAGAGGTCGTGCTGGAGGATATGGAGAATAATCGACTGGGGACGGAGCGGACAGAAATGGTGGCGGCCACCGAAGGGAATAGCAGGAACCAGGGTCACGGTGACAGTCCTGAAGTCGTTCAGCAACAAAGTGCAGCAACAAGGTTGGTATCGCCATCCTGTCCTCAGCCCTCAGCCCTCAGACCTTGCTCTTCCTTTCTGTTCGTGTGTGTGTGTGTGTGTGTGATGTGTGTGTGTGTGTGTGTGTGTGTGTGTGTGTGTGTGTGATGTGTGTGTGTGTGTGTGTGTGTGTGTGTGTGTGTGTGTGTGTGTGTGTGCGCGCGTGTGTGTGTATATGTGTGTGCGTGCGTGTCTTCTCCGCCCTCTCTTTCTCTCGTTCTTCGTCTCTCCTGCCCTCCATGTCTGTCCCGCTATCCTTCTCATACGTCTCTCTCTCTCTCTCTCTCTCTCTCTCTCTCTCTCTCTCTCTCTCTCTCTCTCTCTCTCTCTCTCCCTCCCCTTATCGCCCGCATCCCACTGGCGATCAGCGCATCATCATGCAGTTCATGATGGGCCTCGGCGCACCACTCACCAAATGGGCAAAATAAGAATGAATCTTCCACTAAAATATGGACATACGGGAGAATGAATCTTCCACGAAAATATGGACATACACACAGCCCGTCATCCTGCAGTTCATGATAAAGGAAGACACGCACACACACACACACACACACACACACACACACATACACGCATACACACACGGTGATTACTCGTCAGGTCAAGCAAGAATGACATTCACAGGCATTGGATTCTGTAATCAATAGCGACCGAGGCCTAACCTGACTGTTGTTCATTGGCTCTCCCCTGCACCCCGCTCCCACTCACCCCTCCCTCTCTTTCTGCGCCCCCCCCCCCCCCCCCCCCCCCCCCCCCCCCCCCCCCCCCCCCCCCCCCCCCCCCCTCTCTCTCTCCCTCCAACCCGTCCCCTCTTCTCCTCACTCCCTGTTTTTCTCTCTATTTCCCTAACTCACTCCCTCTTTCCCTCCTCTCCTCCGCCCTGCTGGACCAGATCTCTCCTTCCTTGTCGAGTTTAACCGCTTTTCCTCCCTTGGCGGCGGCTACGATCCTCTACTGGCCGCTCTATTACCTTCTTCCCCCGAATAGAACGTACGGTCACTATCGCTGTTTCTAGACCGAACATTGGCCCAAGTACGGGTATAATGACCGTACGTTCTGTTCGGGTGAAGACGGTAGCATTGCCTATTGGCGTCTCCTCCTCCCTGCTCTCCCTCTTGTCTATACTGCGTACACGTGTACTACGTCTTCTGGTTTATTATCGACACGAAGCACGTATAGACACGTCTCTCCTGCCGTCCAGTATATTTGTCGTTTTGTCCCTCCCCGCTGGCGCTCGATATTGCTTCTTTGTCCCTTTCTGTTATATCCCCGCGTTGATCTCGATGGCTAATTTGGCTGGCGGTCAAATGGCACTGACGTCACAAGCAGCTTCTTTCTTCGTCTTCTATGGCTGTCGCGTTCCCTTTCCTTTTTTCTATCTTCCCCTCGCTCTCTCCCTCTCTCTCCCTCTGTCTCTCCCTCTCTCCCGCCCTCCTCCTCTCTCTCTCTCTCCGTGTCTCCACTGTCAAGTATACCTCGCCATGTCAATGATGCATCTGACACCTGATTGACTATTGACATGAGCCGTCTGCAGTATTTTCATTCCATCTTTGCTTGCTGATGATCTCCATCTCCATCTCCTCTCTTATCTCCATCTCCTCTCTATCTCCATCTCCATCTCCATCTCCATCTCCATCTCCTCTCCGTCTCTCCTCCTCCTCCTCCTCTCCGTCTTCCCTGCGCCATCTCCATCTCCATATCCCTTTGCTTCACGTGCACACGTCTTGCTGATGTTTAAGGATGGATGGCAGCACAGGGTGAAAATTTATACTACGTGTCGTGCTACCGTGCAGACTTGGGACATTCCTGTGGCTGCAGCTTGTTTTCTGCGCGTACGAGAACGCTTCACTACAGTCCGTCGATCCTCTCCCCCCACCACTCTCTCCCTCTCGCATATCTCTGCATTTATCGTTCTTTGTATTTGACCTTTGGGGTTCAATTTACTTCCTCTCGCATAAATCCTCTTCTCCCTCTCCTTCCCGCCCCCTCTCTTTCTCTCTTTCTCTCTCCTTGTCTTTTTGTCTCTCTCTCTCTTTCTCTCTCCTTGTCTTTTTGTCTCTCTCTCTCTTTTCTCTCTTTCCCTTTCCCTTTCTCTCGCTCTCTCTTTCTCCCTCTTTCTCCCTCTTTCTCCCTCTTTCTCTCTCTCTCTCTCTCTTTCTCTCTCTTTCTCTCTCTTTCTCTCTCTTTCTCTCTCTTTCTCTCTTTTTCTCTTTTTCTTGAAATTACATGCTCTATTTATTTATGCTGCTGGTCTGCGGCGATTATTATTGTGTTTTTTAATATTTATTATTATTATTATTATTATTATTATTATTATTATTTTCTCACTAATTGGTTGGCTTAGGAGAAGTTATGAAGTGCTCGTCGCTTCATGCACGCTTATTATTTTATTATTATTATTTTTCCTCACTATTATTATTTCCTCACTAAAGCCCTTACAAAGAAGAACGCTTGCGCAGGGAGGCCACATTGGTTTTCCTTTTTTTCCTTTTTTTCATTTTTCTCTCTCATTTTCCTCTTATTATGGCGCTTTTGAGGGAGACCCTTCCTCCTGAAAAGCCCTGAACTTCTCATTTTTCTCTTCTGGCCCTTTTTTTAATACCTAATTTGGATAATTTCTCGAGTTATGCGTGTCATGCTAATTTTCTTGTCCCGATGGACACCCTTGTTTTTCTCCTCCTCTCTCCCCCTTTTCTTCTTCTTCCTTTCTTAACCTCCTTACCCTTAAACCCTTCTTCAACCCAAGTCCAAATCACTGTACACCCCGTGTTCTCCCTCCGCCCCCCTCCCCCTTCTTCATCACTCCCCCTTCCAATCCACACACCCACACCCACACCCACACCCACACCCACACACACACACACACACCCTGCTCTATTTCCCCCCCCTGCTTATTGCTGTACGATTAATATAATGTAATAATTAACAGTTTAAGACAAGAGAAACCACTTTCGCGGTGCCATAATGATCTTCCCTTTTCTGCACTGTGTGTGTGTGTGAGTGTCGGGTGTTAGGGGGGTCGTTCACAAGTAGAGCCCTCATGTTCACTTCCGTTGCGTGCAGGATGGTTGGGTTTCAGCGAGGAGATTCGACTGGAGATTGGATCGTCTTGGATGGAACACTGAATTGGAAAAGATTGGATTGTAGTGCTGGATTGGATTGGATTGGATTTGGATTGAAATTGGAATGGATTGGAATGATGGATTGGAATGGATTGGAATGGATTTGGATTAGGTTGGGATTGGATTGGATTTGGATTGGATTGGATTTGGATTGGATTTGGATTGGATTTGGATTGGATTGGATTTGGATTGGATTTGGATTGGATGGGATTTGGATTTGGATTGGATTTGGATTGGATGGGATTTGGATTGGGTTGGATTTGGATTGTATTGGATTGGATTTGGATTGGATTTGGATTGGATTTGGATATGGAGTGGACGGAGTTGTGAATTAGTAGAGGCTTGGATTGAACTCTGTTAATGCTGCTGTGGATTGAATTTGACTGGATTGGATGGAGAAGCAGGAGAATCAAGTCGAAATATTTGTTGCACTTACATCATCCTGTTCAGTTGGGCGATGAGTGTAGGAACCTCAGGGAAGCACCTTATCTTTGCCTCTCTCTCTCTCTCTCTTGTCTGTGCTGTTTTGCGTCATGCACCTTGTTATGCATATTTCATTTTATTTTATTTTTCACCCTCGGCTCCCCTGCCTTATCTACTGCTCTGTGTTCCTTTAGGGTGTCCCGGTTGCTATTAATTAATAATAGTTCCATAATCCTCTCTGAATGAATGGAGTTTGACAGATGTCACTGAATTTTCTTGAACCAAGCATGAACACAGGATGATGTCAAAAAGCGGCAAGGTTAAGAAAAAGAGAGAAAATGAAAACAGCGGCAAAGGTTAAGAAAAAGAGAGAAAATGAAAACAGCGGCAAAGGTTAAGAAAAAGAGAGAAAATGAAAACAGCGGCAAAGGTTAAGAAAAAGGGAGAGAAAAAGACGTTCAGAGAAAGGCGGCGAGGTTAAGAGAAAGAGAGAAAATGAATACAGCTACATGAGGCGACATCGTTAAAGGACAAAAACAAACCAAAATGAAAGATGAACTGTGAACAGGGGAAATGAATCAAGGAAAAGCGAAAGAAAACAAAGAAGTAGCCTTACGGTGTGATGCTCACACTAGCACTTTCGAAAATGTATCTGACTGCAATGACGTCTGGACCTGAATGAATCTGACCGCAATCACGTCCAGAGCTAAGTAGAAAAAGTCCTCGTGTGCGAGTATGCCCTTACAAAGCGGAGGGATCTTGCATATGTTGTTGAGGAAAATTAGGAAACTGAGGGAAATGAGGGGAATTAGGGAAATTAGGGAAATTAGGAAAATTAGGAAAATTAGGATTAAATTGCTGCTATTACTGCTGCTGCTGCTGGTGAGAAAGAGATGATGATGAGGAGGAGGAGGAGGAGGAGGAGGAGGAGGAGGAAGGAGGAAGAGGAGGAGGACAAGGAAGACGAGGATGGTGATGATGATGATCATGATAATGATAAGAAAGAAATGATAATGGGCTGCACTCCACTACGAAACACTGTACGTGCATCTGGACAAAATTGCGGACCAGGTACGTTCAGAATGTTAGATTCGTCTTAATGCACCTGGTCCAGAAAGTGTCCAAATGCATGTAGTGTTGTGGAGTGGCGCGAGGCCCAATGATGATGATGATGCTGATTTTTTTTCGGTCAGCGGTGTCGGTGGTGATCTCCCGGAAATTGAGATTGAACTGCTGAATGGAGTCTGGATCGAGATTGTAACTGCTGAATGTAGACGGGAATTCGAGCAACATGAATCTGCTGAATTAATTGGACGATAATAATTGAGTACGATGAGGGTGCTCCTTTCATGTCTGTTGTGAGAGAGACGAGTCGAGTCGAATTTTGACGATTTACACTCATGGCATTGGCAGACGAGCTCACCCTGGAGGACCTATAGTAACGAACAAAGCTGTTGCACTTGCGCAGTTTCTTAAGAGGAAGCTCAGCCAACCTGGGGGGCTAGAATCCTTGGACCCTGCTCTCGTCGAGAAGGCGGTGCTGAATGCCAAGGCTTGTATTCGAGCAGGTTGGTGGCGTGCTTTTTTGCTTGCGTGGTCCTCGCCTGTTTTCATGGATTGATTTGTTGGGTGAGTAGGTGGGTGGTTTGTGTGGGGTTGTGGGTGAGCGCGTGGTTGATGATTTGGGTGTGTGAGTGTGTGGGTGTTTGGGTGTGTGTGAGTGTGTGTGTGGGTGTTTGGGTGTGTGTGAGTGTGTGGGGKGTGTGTGAGTGTGTGGGTGTTTGGGTGTGTGTGAGTGTGTGGGTGTTTGGGTGTGTGTGAGTGTGTGGGTGTTTGGGTGTGTGTGAGTGTGTGGGTGTGGGTGTGGGTGTTTGGGTGTGTGTGAGTGTGTGGTTGTGTGGGTGTTTGGATGGTGGTATGGGGTGTAGAGGTGGATCATGCCTTTGTGGGTAGTGTTAGTTTGACACGTACCTAAAACAGTAAAACTCCTCTCTTGCTATCTTTTTACATCATAAGATCTAATAAACGATTTAGATAATGCATTCATCGTATGCCTCTTATAGATTGGTACCTTCATCCCCCCTAAAGGGCATACTCGCGATGGCCTGATCTCGTTTTGCTCAAGTTTGGACTGCTCCCACTTACTCCTGCGCCCCTAATATATTCCCCCTTTCCCTTTTCCATTGGTCTCTTCAGCCCACTGAAGGGCATATTTGCTGAGTTTGGACTAACAAGTAACTCCTACTCACTACTGCGCCCCTAATATATTCCCCCTATTCCCTTTTTCATTGGTACCTTCGGCCCACTAAAGGGGCATACACACGTCGTCTTGATTACGTTCTGCTGAAATTTGGACTGGGAACTTACACCGCAAGTACATGGCCCCAGCCTTGCAGAAAGTTTTTGTCGCCACAAGCAAAACTCGGAGGGGCCACGCAGCGTGGGGCGCCGTTGAAAAAAAAAATTTGCGGCCTCCAAAGTGGTGCGGGTTTCGTCCTGACACCCACGGGCTGATGTGTGGTGTACTGGGGCCTTAATCCTCTACTTACCCCTACACCCCTATAGGGGGTGTATGGTGGGATATGCCCTTTGGGCCCTATAGTCCTTTGCTACCCTATATTGGGAGTGTAGATTATGTCAGTGATCTGGACTAATAACTTACTACTACACCCCTATAGGGCCTGTATGGTGCTATATACCCTTTGGCGCCTATAGTCGGATGCTGTATCCTATATTGGGAGTGTAAAATAATATCAGTAATTTGCACTAGGAAGTTATATAACTACACCCCTCTAGGGTCTGTCTGGTACACGCATCGGACTACAACCGGAGAGATCGAATGGTTGCTTGGCATATAGCCTTTGAGCGAGGATCGTACTCGTTGTAATCAACGATTCCAAATATTTTTCGACGTCATAACAATTGAATTTGGACTAAGGCCTTGCTGCTACACCCCTATACGGCCTGAATGGTGCTATATACCCTTTGGGGCCTATATTGTGACTACACCCCTCTAGGGTCTGTATGGTGCTATGGACCTTATGGGGCCTATATGGCGCTATGCACCCTATGGGGCATATAGTCCTATTCCACCCTTTATGTGGAGAGCATTGATCATGTGAATGATTTGGACTAAGACCTTACTGCTACACCCCTATAGGGCCTGTATGGTGTTATATACTTTTATGGGGCCTATAGTCCGATGCTATCCTATATACGGAGTGTAGATCATGTAAAAAAACAGGCTCTATAGAGTGGGACACCAAATAGACCAACAGCAAAAAAAAACGTAAAAAGAAAAAAGGATCAAAGGGGCGCCTAGAACCCCGAGGCAAAAGCGTGTTTTCATGCAAAATTCGCTGTTTTCAGTTTGTCAGGATTTTCAGGATTTTCAGGACTGGCCAAAACGGTCATCTCCCAGACCCCAATAAGCACCAAACTTGGGCACATTCAGACCTTGACCAAAATAAAACAGGGGGATAAAAACGAAAAAGAAAAAAAAGAAAAGAACTGAAAAAAATAATCCCCAAATGCACTTTTCACCTAGGAAGTTTTTAATGCCCGGCCGGGCACCCGGGTGTGATGCTCGGGGGGGTCTGACGCCCGGGATACCCGGGCGTGCGAAAAAAAATTAAAATAATATATATATATTTTTTTGCCTTTCTGCACTCTCCCAGAGGACCCCAAATCCGGGCTCTTTTCAATTTTTGAGCGTTGGCTGTCAAGGGGGGGGGGAAGGGGGGTATAAATGTTTTCAAGGGGGCTAAGGGGGTTTAAACTTTAAAGGGGGGTGCCATAGTGTGATTTTGTTATTTTCTTTTTTTATCTCCGATTCAGTGAGGAATTCTGATGTGACCCTCAGCCAAAAGTTGTTTGTATTGCAATTCTACACAACTTTTTTTTTTCTGGAATTTTTTGTCTTTTTTTTTTTTTGCGCTGGGGCTGCCCAGAACCCTGCCCGGGGGTCATGCCCGGCCGGGCCACCCGGGCGTGTATCCGGGCACAAGTTGGGTGCCTGGGCGCCCGGAAAAACAGCCTAGCTTTTCACTGTTTTCAGTGCTGGGGGGTTTAACCTGGGGCTGAAAAGTGGCGGTCCCTGTTAACCACTTGTGGAATGATGCGAACTAAGAACTTGCTGCTTCACCCCTACACCCTTATAGGACCTGTATGGTGCCATATACCCTATGGGGCCTATAGTCCCATGCTAACCTATATTGGGAGTGTAAATCATGTGAATGATTTGGACTAAGAACTTTCTGCTACACCGGTGTAGGGTCTGTGGTTCTCCTCCTAATATGATGTGTGGCTCTACATGTAACAAGCGTCCGGCGCTATGTACCCTATGGATACTCTAATAGTCCTGTGCTGTACGGGCGTATGGTATGGTGATATATACCCTATGTGGAGAGAACCTTCTCCCTATGGATCCTCTAGTAGTCCTGTGATGTAAGGGCAGATGCATTGAACCTTAGGGCCAGATTGCCCGAGTCCCATGTTCGTGCTATGATAGCATGAACCTGGGCAGTTCCATGGCCAAGTTCATGCTTTCGAAGCATGAACATCTCCAGTGGGGCCTGGGCCTTAAGAGTTGGTGCCATATTGTCTAACCCTAGATATACCCTGATTCCCGGAAGCCCAAAGGGTGAGCACCACTGGTTCATGCTTTCCAAGCATGAACCTGGTCATGGACTTAGCCAGGTTCGTGCGTTCTTGGCCTCCAGTGGTGCTATGTTTGTGCTTGGAAAGCATGAACCTGGTCGTAAACTTGGCCAGGTTCATGCTTTCATAGCCCACCAGGTTTGTGCATTCTTGGCCTCCAGTGATGCTATGTTTGTGCTTGGGAAGCATGAACCTGGTCGTAAACTTGGCCAGGTTCATGCTTTCGTAGCCCACCTGCCGATCCCCCATGCGTCCCGCTCCTGGGCGTGGGACCTTCTGGTTTGCAAACTGGTCCCTCATTGCAACTTGTTTTTCCCATTCGCAGCACTTTACGTGCTTCGGAAGCATGAACCTGGTCGTAAACTTGGCCAAGTTCATGCGTTCCATCGTGATAGCCTATGTAGTCCCACATTGTGATTGTCCCTCTGTCTGGGTAATGTATGCTCCTTTCACCTTAAAAAAAAGAGGCTGAGAAAGGAAGAGGATCAAGGAGGAGGAGTAAGTAAGACCAGCAAGGAGGAGGAGAAGGAGGATTGCAATTTGTCGCGTAACAGAGTGCTGAGTGGCATGCTGCTGTTTGCCAGCATTCATTAGCTGACTGTGCAGCTATTCTGTTGGTGTGGATATTACTGGATGTGTATTGCAGATGCGAATCCCTGTGCAGAGAAGACGGCGAAGGTGCGGCACGTGATATCTTTTTCTTGCTCAGAGGTAATTATCAATTACCAATTAGCAATTATGTGACATCTTTTTTTATTGTTTAGAGATCTTGATCAATTTCCAATTAGCAATTAATAAAACCTTTAGAGACTTCTTGTCCTCTGTGCCGCTCCTCGTTCCGTGGGGAACATCTACGTCAGTGAAGTTATACGAGGTTGATGCTGGCGCGTCTTCACTTTTGTGCAAATTGTGCAGACGTATGGATGTTTGTATATAGTGTATATACTATATAGTATAGTACAGCCCCTTGTTTGTTGTCCTCTTCTCCCTCTCTGCCTACGGTGTACAGGGCTGCTCTGTTTGACTATATACAGTATAGTATATATAATATAGTATATATGGTACATCATATATAGTATAGTATATATAGTACAGCAGGGTTGCCGGCGTTCGGGACGGGCCGAACGCCCGAACCCGAACGCCCGAACGTTCGGCACCCCCTCTCGACGCGTTCGGGCGTTCGGCCGAACGCGGACCTTAAAAAAAAAAAAAAAAAAAAAAAAACAAATTCCAAAAAATCTGAAAAATATATATGTTATGCAGAAGAATAAACTAAACAACATTTGCCTCAACGTTACATCCAAATTCTTTACGAAACCTGAAATAGAAATAAAATACAAAGAATAAATAATAATAATGACAATTAGAAAAAATAAAACGAGAATGAAATTATTGAGTGGGCGAGCACGTTTTTGACAACGCCATCTTTGGCGATTTTTCATTTTTTTTTGGCTGTGAAAAATGCCATGAAAATTTATATATGTGTATATTACATAATAGAGAATCTACAAATAAAGTTTGAAAAAATAATAATTTTGTTCATGCCCCGAAATAAAGGAAAAACAAAAAGTGAAAAGAGAGAAAAACAAGTTAGTGAGTGGGCAAGTAAGTTTTGACACCACCATCTTTGCCGATTTTTCATTTTTTTTTTGGCTAAGCAGAATGGCTTCAAAATTTAGAGGGAGGTACCTTACATCCCAAAGAACTCGCAAAAAAAAATTCAGAAAAAAGTAACAATATTTAGGTGCCAAAATATTTTTTTGCGGGGTCCGAACCCCTTCAGGTTCGGGCCCCGTACGGGGACCCGAATGCCCGAACGTTCGGGGGTCAGCTTAGGGGCCTCCGTACGTTCGGTCTGGCAACCCTGTAGTACAGTATATATGGTATAGTATATACTATATATACCTTTCTTCACCTTTTGGCTAAGATTAATTGTGGTATCTGGTCTGAACTGCAGCTCAGTATATGACAAAGAAAAAGGAATGGGTGTGTGATGTAGGTGGCATCTCTGCCATTTTGGCTGAATTTTGCAGAGGAATGGGTGTGTCTGATGTAGTTCTGTGATTTGGGGGTCTCACCTTCACGTTTAACCAGAGTAAGTTCGCTGTTAACCGGAGAATAAGTTCTTTCGTAGTTAACCGGGAAACAAGTCTTGCGAAATTGACCAGAGAGTAAGTTCAAAGTTAATCAGAGAGTAAGTTCACAGTTAACCACAGTAACTTTACAGTTAACTCATCTTGGGTTAAACTTTACAGTTAGCTCATATATTAGTTAAACTTTACAGTTAGCTCATATTGGTTAAACTTTCCAGTTAACTCATATCGGTTGTACTTTCCAGTTAACTCATATTGGTTAAACTTTACAGTTAACTCATGTATTGGTTAAACTTTACGGTTAACTCATATATATTGGTTAAACTTTACAGTTAACTCGTATATTGGTTAAGTGTTTGTTTGAGTTGTTTTCCGCAGTTAACTCACATTCGTTAAGTACTTGTTTGACTTGGTTTCGGTTTAGTTACTAACCTTAATGTCTTTGGTCAATATTTGAACTGAAACACAACTCAAGCTAGTGCTTAACCAATGCGAATTAATTGCGAACTTTGGTTAGCGGTTACACCCTCAAATGAACCTGAGTCGGTTAACCGTTAGTGAGTTTGGTTGATAATGAAGCTAAAAAGTTGCACGCCTGTGGTTAATAATTGAGCTTACCTCGGTAAGCATTAACCTTACTCCAAGGCTGAGTACATTTGTACTGCGCACTTGTGTTCGATGCATTTTCCATGAACACTTATGCAACCATTAACCTGATCTGAACCTCCTAATCCTTAACCTTACTCCAGGCTAATCCTTAACGCAGACCTGTCTTCTATGCATTCACCAATAACCTTACTCTAGGTTAGGTTGCTATTAGCTTTTCTAGGTAGAATTAATTGTGCAAACTGTGGATCATTAATCAGTGGCGAGTGTTCTTTTCTCAACCCACGAGTGTGTGTGTGTGTGTGTGTGTGTGTGTGTGTGTGTGTGTGTGTGTGTAACCAGTGGTCATTGCAGTGGCATTTCTTCTGTGATCTGACACTTCTTTCTGTTATTGTTGTTGTTGTTGTTGTCGTTGTTGTTGTTGTTGTCGTCATTGTTGTTGTTGCTGCTGCTGCTGTCATTGTTGTTGTTGTTGTTGTTGTTGTTGTTGTTGTTGTTGTTGTTGTTGTTGTTACTGCTTCTGCTTCTGCTGTTGTCATTGTCGTTGTCATTGTCATGCTCGTTGTCATTGTCGTTGTCGTTGTCGTGGTTGCCATCATCATTGTCGTCGTCATCGTTGTTGTTGTTGTTGTTGTTGTTGTTGTTGTTGTTGTTGTTGTTGTGGTGGTGGTGGTGGTGGTGGTGGTGGTGGTCGTCGTTGTTCATGTGGTGGTGGTCGTCATCATTGTCATCGTCGTTCATGTCGTTGTTGTTGTCTTTGTTCTTGGCTTTGTTGTCGTCGTTGTTGTTGTTGTTGTTGTTGTCATCATTGTTGTTGTTGTTGTTGTTGTTGTTGTTGTTGTTGTTGTTGTTGTTGTTGTTGTTGTCTGGGCTACACAGAGTGAATCAGACAGTGATGAGAGTGGAGGTGAATTGCATTGTCAGAATGGGGGTGCAGTTTCCCGAAAGCAAAAGAGTAAGTTGAATGGGAAAAGTGCTAGAAGCACAGCCAAAGAGGAAGAAATCAGGAGGAGAAAAGAGGAGGAGTGTTCCAAGCATCAGAGTGAGGATGATGTGCATGAGAAACTGAAGACAGTGACAGCAAAGAAGATAAAAAGGAGAAAGAGGAGGAGAAGTCAAGTGGAAGATGATGGGGTAGATGATGATCATCATGATGATGATGATGACGAAAGGCGAGAGAAGAAGAGGAAGAAAAAGAAAAAGGAAAGGCAAGCAATAGATGGAACGGAGGAGGATGAGGAGGGAAAGGGAAGGAGGACAAGTAAAAACTGGGATGCTGACGATCGGGGCGGGAAGAAGAAGAAGAAGAAGATGGAGATAAAACTTGAAAAGAAGCGAAGCAGATCTTTTCTCGAGCACATGAAAAAGAGAAAGTCGAAGGGAGTAGGAGGCAGGAAGTACAGGAAGGAGGGACAGGAGCAGAGAGCCAAGGAGAAAAAACGGAGAATAGGGAAACGTAAAGGAAGTGCGGGACTCAGAAAACACGAAGAGAGAAGAAGACGAGGGATGGATGATCTGCCAAAGAAGAAACCTGTGCACAAGGACTAAGATCGAGGAACAACCAACCTGTTGGATTCCCTAAGAGGAACTAACACATCCCCAGTCTATCTGTTTACTCGTCCTGATCCCCCATTCTCCTCATTATCCCCCCCCCCTTATTCGGACCCTCGGTTCATAGCCTCCCTGTAATGTAGCACACTTACAGTTCCCAAACCAATCCAGCGATTAGATGCAGTTATAGACAGGACATGAATCTCTCTCTCTCTCTCTCTCTCTCTCTCTCTCTCTCTCTCTCTC